CTGAGCACATAGTCCACATAGTAGCTGCCCCAGAGCTAATTGACAAGGAAACATGCCAGGAAGACGCGCCGCGGAACGTTCCAAGGGACGCGCCAGGCAACGTGCCAGGGAACGTGCCACGGGGACGCACCGTGGGACGTGCCAAGGGGACGCGCTACAGAACGTGCTGGGGACAAGCGTCGTGTTGGTGGTCTGGACACGTAAAAACACGGTGCCAGCTCGGGACAACCATGTTAAATACCCCCAGGGTGGCCTGGACACGTAAAACCACGTGGTTCCAGCTCGGGACAATCATGTTAGAGATCTCCCTGGGTGGCCTGAGCATGAAACATGATCGACCCACGAACCCGGAAAGGAATACAGAACTGTAACACATGGCAGCGTTTTCAAAGACACCTGATTGGGTGACGGGCAAATGCAATGCTGAATGTATCGATCTCGATGTACCCTGCCGAGGGCTGTGCTGTGCTGCACCGTGCTGAATTGCGATGTGCCATGCCGCGATTGTGCTCTATAGCCTCGTGGATCGAGTCCTCCTTTGCATCCGAGTCCTGACCGAACTGATCTCGATCTTAAGCTCGAGCTGCCTGAACACATAGTAGCTGCCCCAGAGCTGATGGACAGGGGAGCATGTCAGGAGGACGCGCCGCGAAACGTCCCAAGGGATGCGCCAGGCGACGTGCCAGGGGACATGCCATGGGGTCGCACCGCGGGACGTGCCAAAGGGACGCGCTACGGAACGTGCCAATGGATGTGCCACGGGATGTGCCAGGGGACGCGCCACGCGACATGCCAGGGAGACTCGCCAAGGGACGCGCCACGGAACGTGCCACGGAACGTGCCAAGTTGCAATGCTGAGTGTATCGATCTTGATGTACCGTGCCGAAATCTGTGCTGTGCTGCGCCGTGCTGAATTGCGATGTGCCATGCCGCGATTGTGCTCTATAGCCTCGTGGATCGAGTCCTCCTTTGCATCCGAGTCCTGACCGAACTGATCTGGATCTTAAGCTCGAGCTGCCTGAACACATAGTAGCTGCCCCAGAGCTAATGGACAGGGGGGCATGCCAGGAGGACGCGACGCGGAACGTCTCAAGGGACCCGCCAAGCGACGTGCCAAGGGACGTGCCATGGGGACGCACCGCGGGACGTGCCAAGGGGACGCGCTACGGAACGTGCTGGGGACAAGCGTTTCGCTCGAGACATCCTGCCAACATCCTCAGAATTCCTGCGCGCGGGACGCGGCACGCGCGAGACATCCTCGGAATTCTTGCGAGCGGGACGTGAAAACAAGCATTTCGCCTGAGACACCCTCTGAATTCTGGACCCCCACGAGGCCCCCCACGAGGCCCCTGCTCGAGACATCCCCCAACTTTGCAAAACCAGCGTTTCGCTCGAAACGTCTTCAACAAATTATGAAAGACAAGCATTTCGCTCGAGACATCCTGCCAAAATTCAAGGAAATCCTAGCAAAACAAACGAATTAGTCGAGACATCCTCGAAATTCCTGCGCGCGGGACGCGGCACGCGCGAGACATCATCGGAATTCCTGCGCGCGGGGCGCTTTTCCGTGTCGCGGTCGGCTCTGCAAAACCAGCGTTTCGCTCGAGACATCCTCAACAAATTCTCAAAACAAGCGTTTCGCTCGAGACATCCCCAACTCTGCAAAACCAGCGTGCCGCTCGAGACATCCTCAACAAATTCTGAAAAACAAGCGTTTCGCTAGGGACATCCTCAATTTTTAATTCGCCGGCCCTACGCGACCTCGTTATTTATCGCAAAAGAAATTCGCCGGCCCTACAGCCGTCAAAACCGGGGGGAAACAAACTAAAAGAGAACCCTGGGCCTTTGCCCTTTCCGGGAAAAACACGTGGTTCCAGCTCGGGACAGCCATGTTAGATACCCCCCAGCGTGACCTGGATACGCTGAATTCGCGCTCCCGCTCGAGACATCCTCGCAACGTCTTCCCTGGAGAGGCCCCCAAAGCGCAACCCCATGTTCAGAGCAAGAAACCGTCACTTTTCTGTATTGGGACATGTGTTCGGGTAGCGCTTTTCGGCCACCCGTGCGTTTCCTCATAATTCAACGCTGGGCCCGACGCCATGTTAGATACCCCAACTCTGCAAAACCAGCGTTTCGCTCGAGACATCTTCAACAAATTCTGAAATTAAGCGTGACGCTCGAGACATCCCCCAACTCTGCAAAACCAGCGTTTCGCTCGAGACATCATCAACAAATTATGAAAAACAAGCGTTTCGCTCGCGGCATCCTCAAAAATAATGCCGCCGGCCCTCTTCAAACTCGTCATTTATCGCAAAATAATTCCGCTTGCCTCCTTCAAGTCGAAACCGAGGGTAAACATCTAAAAGAGAACCCTGGGCCTATGCCCTTTCCGGGAAAAAAGCTCGGCGGAAGTAAAAAATCTGCCTCCGGAGAGATGTCACAGTTTTTGGGGCTGAGGGTTTTTGTTGAACGCCGCCCCCCGCTCGATCCTTGGGCGTCCTCCTTTTCAGCCAGTCCCCACACTCACGACCAGGGAAACTGGCGCCTCCAGACTGGGAGTGCGGACCACACCGCCTCGACGGACGCCACAACGGGGCATGCGAGCCCCAAACGGAGGTCCACCTGTGGGGACGGATGGATGGCCCCCCCCCCCACACCGAGTGCCTTCGAGAGGAAGAATGCAATCTGTCTGAGGAGGGGCGGCCATTGCCCGATCCCGCCGATCTCCTCATTATCTGGCTACGACTACTACGAACACATATCCCATGACCTGTGATGTGGTCTCGAGCTTGCCTGCTGTGGCCGCGAGTTTACCTGTCCGGCCCGTGGTCATTTGGGGCGTCGCCTGAATAATACCGAACTTCCCGTCCGTGGTTTGCAGTTTGCCCCTGTGGCCTTCGCGCGCGCCAGCAGTGCACAACAGCTACCTCCCTGGTCTCGAGCCAACCCTCTGGTCATGCTGTTCACAACGTGGTCACGCGGTGGGGCACAGACCATGACGCATTGACTCACGCATGGCCTTCTGAAATTCCACCGCAGCGCAGCCGATCTCCTGCATGACTGTCAGCGCACTCCACCACCCAATCAGCGATCCACTCCGAGGGTACGGCGGTCCCCTCTAAAATTCAATCGCGGGCGGAACCGTAAGTAATCACGCCCCTGCATGCTCTGCAGAGGCTCCTAGCGCGCCACGTGCACCAGACCGAACGAACGAACGAACGACCACCGCTGCGAAGCGTCCAGGCCTAGCTCAGACCATGAGGGTGAGGCCGTGGCCTCTGGACTCTGGCGTGCCTGGACACATGCAATGCCAGACAGAGAAAGAGTAAGGAGGAAAGGAGAGGAAGAGGAGGCGGAGGAGGAGGAGGAGAAGGAGGAGGAAAAGGAGGAGGAGGAGGACGAGGAGAAGGAGGAGGAGGAAGAGGAGGAGGACGAGAAGTCCTTGGCGTCGGTGGGTGTTTGCTTGCGCGCGAGTCGGCGTCCTGGTGCTCGAACCTGCTCCACGTGCCAGCGCCGACAACCTTGCCCTCTTAACACATGTGGCTCGCCTCCTCTATCGCAGCAGTAGTCCGCATGCCCAGCAGTGCCGCGTGGATCGTCGGAGGGCACCACCTCCTCGCACTCGTGCGAATCAGCAGATTCCAGCAGCTTCTGCGCATCGCCAGCGCAGCGAGCTCCGCGTTGCCCAGCGCGCCCTGGCCTTTGAGGCGCAGAACCGTTTGCAGCTGGCAGCGGGAAACTCACCGTGAAGACGGAGTAGAGCTTGACGGGGTTCCAGCGGCTCGTGCGGATCGGGCCGACAACGATTCACACGTCGTGGAAAGACCATACCCTCCGTCGCGCTGGGCCCCCTGGTCCCTGCCGGGTCGAGCGTCCCCTCCCCCCGCGCACTGCTCCCGCGCGCTGCTGGAGCGCCTCGCGCCCACGAGGGCCGTCCGAGCACGCAGGGATGTCACCAGCCGAAGGCAGCTGACCGCAGCAGACCTGGGCAGCACGTCGTCCGCTGGGAGCCGACTCGGCGCGCGGCCGCTGAGCGGAACGACCCGCCTCTGGCGCGGCAGGGGTCGATACTCGACGACGCGCGACTACCTGGGCACGGCGATTCACTGATCGCGACACTGCGGAGGAGGCCCAGCCAGAGAAAGGAAGAGGCGTTTCAGAAGTTTCTGCCTGTCGGGTGTAGTGTCGAACCCCAGGACCATCGAACATCGACATGGGATGGTGAAAAGCTGGACTGGATGGACTCCGTAGGGGTCCCCGAGTTTCTGACTTGAGCGGACGTTGGTGGGCTGTCCCATCCCCTCGCTTCAAGTTTTGGCGGGGAAGAGTTGGTGGAAAGTCGCCCAGAGGAGAGTCGAAAGAGAGGACGAGGAGTAGGCGGTGCTGGGCACCACTGGCACTGTCGCATATCGGGCGCGACTGGGGGCGAGCGCTGCTACTGTGGAGCTAAAGGTAACAAGCGGGCTGTGACTACAGCAGCGGCAGTGAATGGAATCAGGCGCGCGTTGGAGCTCTGGAGTGGGCTTGGGGGGTGTCCGTTCGGGCCGCATGACTCTCATGAAAAGGCGCTGTGGTGCCCCCAGGTGCGATCTGCTGGGGCTGCGGCGAGGACGTGGGTGAGCGCAGCGTCTCGCCGTCCTCCCCTGCTGGGCGCCTCCTACAGATGACAGCCGCAGGTTCTGCTCGCAGGAGCCATGCGCACTGGCGGGTCTGACGCGCGCGGAGTCGGCGCTGTAGGTGAAGTATCCCAGCGGACTCTGGCGGGGCGCATGCCATCGAACGGTTTGAGTTGCAGGGCCAGGGCCTAACGAGAGTCTTGGCAAGGCGTCGAGCGTCTGTTGCAACCCTCCTTTTGCAACCCGGTCATGACCGTCACCGTCACGAATCATGATCATCACCACCGCTACTTTCAGCGTCGTCGCCACCATCAATATCATCATCCGGCTCGCCCAAATCTCCCCAAGCCCTCACCATCGTACACCTCCGTTCTCCCAGGGCTCCTCGCCCTCCTTAGGGGCGGCGTCCGCCATGAGCTTGTTCACCTCTGCCTCCTGAGCACCCGCGCGGTCCAAAGGCGGAAAGAGTCCGGCCGGTCCGGGCGGGCGCCGGGCAGGCCGAAGGCCAGGCCGACCGCTGGCCGGTGGTAACAGGCAGCCAGACACAGCCATCCTGGCCGATATGTTCTGTGATGACAGGCTTGGCTCTTCGACCGACGGAGATGAAGGAGGGGGGGAACGTGTTCGAGTGTTGTTTTCATATGCTTGGCGCTCTGGGGCGTTCAGGGGGCCCGAAGAGGCCTCTGGAGCCTCCGGGAGCCTGCGGAGGCACAGAGATCCCGAGAGGGACCGCCTGGAGGCGTCCAGGAGCCTCTGAGGCGGCACCGCAGTCTGCCACGGTCGAGCCTGGCAGGACGCCGCGAGGACGGCGCCCACGCGCCCTGAGCCCAGTGCTGGGTGCGTCGCTCGGTGTCGGGCACGGGACTTCTGCCGTAGACGAATCGCAGCGGCCGCCCTTCGTTCTCGGCTTTAGGCCTATCGAACGTGAAGCCTCTGCGCAGGATCGGTGTCTGGCAGCCAAGGCTATCCTGTCTGTCTCTCTGCCCCCCTTGCCCTTCTCAACCCCTGTGCACCCGTTCGCCTCCCCCTCGGAATTTGTTTGTTTCGCCTCTTCCGCCGCCCCATGCGCCCCGTTTCTTCTTCCTCCTCCTCCTCCTCCTCCTCCTCCTCCTCGCCCTCCTCCTCCTCCTACTCTTTCTCCTCCTCCTCCTCCGCCTCCTCCTCCTCCTTCTCCTCCTCCTCCTCCTCCTCCTCATATCCCTCCTACCCCTCCGAATATCATCCGCCACCGTGCCGCTGGGCACGGAGTGAGCGTGTCCTCAGGTCCGTTGCCTAATCCCTGCATCACCACTGAGGAGTCTTAAAGGAAGCTGGAGCCCAAATTAGGAAGTCTCGTTGGGCTTCCCACGTGCCCCCTGGGCTCTGGCGCGTCTTGTCGCATAAATTGTTCGGGCCCACGAGGCCTCCAAGAGGGTCCAAGAGGGCCCCGAGTCGCCGAAAGATCTTTCCAAGACGCCCCAGATGGCATCAAGATGGCCCAAGAGGCCTCCAAGACACCCCAAGAGGCCTCCAGGAGGCCTCCCATCAGGGCCCCAAGAGGCGAAAATCCTTGATTCGCCTTAGGTGTTTGACGGATTTGCGCGTTCTCGCCATTTCTGTTTTCCGACGCTCCAAGACGGCCCAAGAGGACCCCACTCAGACCACCCAAGACGGCCCAATAGGCCTGCAAGATGGCCCCAAGACGGTTGAAGAGCGCACCAAGACGGCCCAAGGGGCGCCCAAGACGGCCCAAGAGGCTTCCGCACCAAGAGGCCCCTAGGAGGCCTCAAGAGGCGCCCAAGAGGCCCGAAGAGGCCCTCAAGAGGCCCCAAGAGGCGGCCCAAGAGAGGCCCCAAAACGGCTCGCAAAAGGAATCAAAACTGCCTCCAAGATGCCCCTGAGAGGTCCCCCACGAGATCCCAACGAACATCCAGTAGGCTTCATACCCACAACCCAGGTACAGTGGCGGATAGGCCGAGGGCCATAAGAGATCATTCGTCCAATGTCTCTCAGAGAGGTGCGCGCGGGAATGAACGTTCGACGTCGTCGGAGTTCGGAACGGCGACGGCGAGGAGCGCAAGGGTTCAGGCCCTTGGTATACCAGCCATCGTCGCGCCCCTCCAGGACAAAGGCCACAACATCCTCAAGACTGCACCGTGAGATATATATATATATATATATGTGTGTAGATATATGCAAATATGTATATATATATGTGCACACGAAACAGAGAGCGCAAACACAGACGCAAACACAGACGGACACACACCACATACACATACACACACACACACACACATGCACGCGCGTGCACACGCACACACCCGCACACACACACACACACACACACACACACACACACACACACACACACGCACACAAACACACACACACACACACACACACACACGCACACATACACACACTTATATACACACACGCACGCGCGCGCACACAGAGACACTACAGACACACACACACACACAACGCACACACACACACACACACACACACACACACGCGCACGCACACGCAAACGCACACGCACACACAAACACACACACACACACACACACACACACACGCACACACACACACACACACACACACACACCACGCACACACACACACACACACGCACACACACACACACACACACACACACGCACGCACGCACGCAAGCACGCAGGCACACGCACACACACACGCACACACAACCACACACACACACACGCGCAAGCACACGCACACACACACACACACACACACACACACACACGCGCGCGCGCGCGCGCACGCACGCAAACACACACACACAAGAAACAAACGCCAAACTCAAAGAGTTGGTGCAATGTGGTCACGCGCACGCGGGCACGCATGGCGCGACGGGTGCTCGCCCCGTGAGGGGCACGGAGTCAGGAGCAGTGTGATAAGAGATCTGCTGCGCCCGCGGGGAAGTAGGCACTCTGGGGCCTGTGCTCCCAAATATGATTTCGGGGTGAACGGGACGTCGGGTGCAAGACTGCGAGCCGCGCGGCACGTCTTCACAACATACGGCCCCTCCAAGTGCAAAACTGGCTACAAGCAAAAGACGCCGGGTGCAAACAACAACAACAACAACAACAACAACAACAACAACAACAACAACAACAATTACTAGCACGTGGGGACACTCCGTTCTCACCAGTGCCAGGGTTTTCATAGGAGGCGGGCAATACCCCCACTTTGTGGGGGGGCCGGTTCAAGCTCTACCAAATTTCCAAACGACTCTTCGCCACCACCCACACCCAGCTTCCCGCCCTATGACGTTCGGACACTTCACTTCGTGGCATGCGGACGACCGTGGCTACTATTCAGGGCCCCGCGGCCGACGACGACGGCGTGCGCGCGCGAAGAAAAAACGAATGTGTCCCGCATGGTATTATTTGACAGGGATGATGGCCCTGGCAGGTGCGCAACCGTTGTTGCAGAAGTTCGAAAAAGTTGCTCGCAAAAGCCCGTTTGACAGAAATGTTAAAAAGTGTTGGGTTTCCTACGAATCCGCAAGAGCGCGCGGGATGAAATTTTGACAATTTTTTGTTGAAAAACCATTGGTTTTTTGATGTTTTTATGTTAAAATCGTTACGAAAACTAAGGTTTTGGAAGGATTTCGTCTTGCGCGCGCGAATGTCCACTTTACCTTATTTTTTGCAAGGGATTCTTGAAGTTTGGTTATGTTAGAACAAGAAATGTCCACTTTAGCTTATTTTTTGCAAGGGAAAACCACCCGTAACAAAACAACCGGATCCGGACCAACCCGTTTTGCCTGAGACTTCCTCACGAAAATGATGAAAACGTGGCTGCGGCCTAGGCGCGGCGGGGGGGTCGTGCACCAGGGGTCCCAACAATAATTATTCTTTAGAAGTAATAATGTTCAACAACAACAACAACACCCACAACACCCACAACAACAACAACAGTCATTCTACGACTGTTCGGTCTTACTTGCCCGTGTTTCATTCAAAACGAGTTCCCCGCACCCTCGATACCTGCCCTTTTTGTCTTCGATCACACCCCTTTTGGGGGGATTGTTTCTCTTTGCGGGGGGCGGCGGGCTTAGACAGGCGGGCAAACCTGAACGGGCGGGCAATCCTTCGTGGGCGTACATGTGCCCGCCATTGGAATTGGTGTGGGCCCTGCAAAAAGAGAAGGGGGAGAACAAGGGAGAGTGGGAGGAAGGGAGGGGGATGGACGAAGGAAGAAGGAAAACGCCAGGAGAGAAGGAGCTAAGAGGGGGGCGGTTGGTTAGAGGAAGAGAGAGAGAGAGAGAGAGAGGACAAAAAAAAATAAAAGACAGATAAGAGAGGCAGATAAAGAGAGAGAGAGAGGGGAGAGAGAGAGAGAGAGAGAAACAAAAAGGAGGGAGGAGGCAGGACAGGGGAGGGAGGGGAGGGAGAAGGGAGGAGGGAGAGGAGGGAGAGGGGATAGGGCAGAGAGGCATAAGGATGAGGGAAGAGAGGAGGGAGAGAGAAGGGAGGAGAGGAGGGAGGAGGGAGGAGGGAGAGGGAGGAGGAGCAGGAAGGTAAGAGCGTGAACGTTCGAGGAAATCCTAAGCGAAAGCGCCGTTCCTGACGGAAGTCTCGAGCGGGAGCCCACGACGGGCGGGCGATCCCCTGACGGGCGGGCCGGGCGGGTGGGACATTCAAGCGGGATGCCTGAGTATGGCGAGAGCGCGATTCCTAAGTAAATTGTGACGGCGTCCTTGGCGCAGCGTGTTTCCTTAGCGTCGAAAGCGTGATTTCTGCATAAATTGCATGAACGTCACAAAGCGAGAGCGCAATTCCTGAATAAAATGTGAAGGGTTCTCTGGCGGGAACGGGGGTCTTGATGAAATTGCGAGGAAGTCTTGACTCAATTGCGAAGAAGTCTCAAGCGGGAGCGCCGTTCCTGAGTAAATTGTGAGGAAGTCTCAGATGGGAGCGGGGGTCCTGACTAAATTGCAAGGAAATCGCAAGCGGTAGCACCGATCCTGAGTAAATTATGAGGAAGTCTCAGGCTGGAGCGGGGGTCCTGAATAAACTCATAGGAAGTCTCAAGCGGGAGCCATTGTTGTTGCAATCTGGGGGGCCAGGGGCACAGTTTGAGCACGAAGACTTTCCCTGTCAAAAAACAAGGTCCGAGCGTCGAGGGGCCGACTTTGATTGAGAAAAACAGTATGCACTGGCGAGGAGGGATCAACAATAATTATTCTTCCGAAATGAGAATTCAATAACACTAAAAAACCACAACCACAACCACAACAAAAACAACAACAACAACAACAACAACAACAACAACAACAACAACAACCACAACAACAACAACAACAACGACGACGACGACGACGACGACGACAACAACAACAACCACAACCACAACCACAACCACAACCACAACCACAACCACAACCATCATCACAACCACAACCACAACCACCA